TTGTTGAATCTGACGTGACATGTTCGTACGAACCCTTTGTACGAACAAAAATAAGAGAAATTTAGGATAAGAATACGAACATGTTCTTGCATGAGGCCCAGTGTCTTTATGTCCCATTGTTCTTAGCTGAATACTTGTTCTTTTGCAGTTCTTTTTCAGTTGCAGCTTTTTTAACAAACTTTCAGTGCAAAATGTGCCTGTGCTGCCCAGATACAAAAATGCATACGTCTGCACAGTTGTATTAGTTTTTGGACTCCTGACTTGGACAGCAACAGCAGATAGAATCAAGTTATCATCATCACTGATCCTGACATGGCTACAGGTTTGAGTCATTGTGGAGGTAGGACTCAGTGGATTCTGCGGACATCCAGGGAAAGCTTCTGTACTTTCCTTATCAATGTGCAGGACACTGGGATGCCTTTGGTGACATACAGAACAATCCAGGCAACCTCTGCACTCTCTGCTTCTGTGTCCCAATTTGAAACAACCAAAACACATGCCCTTTACATTAATAAAGTTTACTTTAGCTTTATGTGGCTGCTCTTTGAATTTAAAACATTTGTCAGTTGTATGATTACTGAAGAGACAATACAAACGGCCATGGTTTTTGGAGGTCTTGCACTTGTTCTTATTTTCAGCTGCTTTCATTGTTCACTGCAATAACATTTGTGGCGAAACTGCTCCTCTTTTCTTCTGTTTTGTAAAGCTGCTGTTGTTTTTGGAGTTGAGCGGGTCCACAATATTGCCAAACAATGGATCAGATTCAACTTTAACTAGTTTTTCTATAAATCCAACAAGATCTATGAATAATACTCTGACCCCTAATTTCATGCAAGTCACAGACTACATTTCTCTTTTATCTTATAAGGCAGCTTTGAGGATTCTGCTCCACATATTCATTGGCAAGTCCACTTCTTTCATGTGTGTGATATGTTCTGTTAAGTTAGCGCATCCTTTCAGAAACAAGGAAAAAGACTGCAGTGATTCATATCCTCACTTTTAATGGCTGGTCAGTTGTTAAATTAATCCATATAGGCATGTGAAAGTTTGTGTTTGTTTCCAAAATGTTCAGAAGGAAGACTTTTAGCTTTGAGATAACCCAGTTCTTGATGGACCCAATTGCAGGCTGAAGGCAGGCTTTAAATAAATAAAAAACTTTATTTAAAGTAAAAATCTGGTGGGGCGGCAAAACAAGAATAACAAGCTGGAGAACCAGGAGTGGAAACCAAACAATGAACTGACACTAAAGTGGTGGAGAACGGCTGCTTAATTACAAACAAAGCTGAGTGGAAGTTGGAGGCAACTGGGTGATTACAAATGAGGACTGATGTGAAAGAACTGACTTGGAGACAGAAACCTCTGAGAAGATGGTGATGGACACTAAAGGGAGGCAGAGCATAACACAACACACACACACACAAGACACAGATCCACACAGTTCTGATGGTAAATGCTGACAACTGTGCACAAGATCTCTGGGCTGCCCCCTGGTGTATTGCTCTARAGTGCAAACAGTCCCTCCAGCTGGATGGTTTGGCCTCCACACCATTCTCAGTTGTTCTTAGAAATGATTTAAATTGAAGGGTCTCCATCAAAAACATGGTTGTTTCTTGGTGTTGACTTAGAGTTCCCCTTTTCATAATATGACTTCATGCCATCAGAACGTTTTGAGCCACACTGTGAATTTATTTCCAACGCACAACGTTTTGTATTTGCAGCTGCTAACGCAGTCTGAAGCTCAAGTTGCTCCTTTTCATGTTTTAGATTATCCTCCAGCTCTTCAAGCTGCTGTTTCCTTTTCAGTGCTGCAGTGAACTCCAGCAGCGCTGCCTTTTCAGCTTCAGCCCTGATGAGTGCTGATGTTGTGGAGGAGACAC